ACTAGTTAACCAAGTCGACACACTTTGTACCTATGCACGTAAATGACTCAGTAGATCATCTTACCGACCTTTATATTAGGGACATACTGAGGTTGCATGGGGTCTCTATAACGATTATTTTGAATAGAGATCTGCGCTTCACGGCTCGATTATGGCAGAGCCTACAGAGTGCCTTGGGCACGAGATTGACTTTTAGCACGACGTATCTTTCTCAGACTGACGGGTAGTCCGAGCGTACTATTTAGATTTTAGAGGATATGTTTTGGGGTTGTGTTATTGACTTTAAAGGGTCGTGGGAGAGGCACCTACACTTAGTAGAGTTTGCCTATAATAATAGTTTCCAGTCAACTATTGGCATGGCACTGTTTGAGGCCTTGTATGGCCAACCGTGTAGATCCCCTGTGTATTGGGCCAAGGTGGGTGATGCACCTTTGTTGGGTCTAGAGTTAGTCTGGGAAATGACGAAGAAAGTTGCACTTATTCGTAAAAGGTTAATTATTGCCCAAAGTCGCCAAAAACGTTGTGCCGACCGTAGGAGGAGACCTTTGTCTTTTGAGGTAGGAGATCATGTCTTCTTGAAGATATCACCTAGGCGAGGTTTGATGAGATTTGGAAAGAGTAGGAAGTTATCTCCTACATTTGTTGGGCCTTTTGAGATCCTTGAGCAGATTGGAGAGGTAGCTTATCGCTTGGCTTTACCGCCACAACTTTCTAGGGTCCATGATGTGTTTTATATTTGTATGTTTCGGAAGTATGAGCTAGATCCATCGCACATGTTGGATTGGACCAACTTAAAGGTAGATGAGGATGCCTTATATGAGGAGAGACCAGTGAAAGTTTTGGATACTCGAGACCAAGTCTTGCGAAGCAAGACAATTCCTTTGGTAAAAGTATTGTGGCAACATCACGGAGTTGAGAAAGCAACTTGGGAACGTGAGTTAGAAGTCATGAGAAGTATCTGGACCTATTTGTTAATGTTTGAGCATGTATTAAAACTTTTGTTATGTTGATTTAATATAAACATTGTATATGTTTTGGAAATGTGAATTGTATATTCAGTATTGAGAACTTGTTTATTATGTTGATGAGAATGAGTGACTGGCGGATGGGTCATGGTATTAGAATTGATTGATTACCATTGTTGAAATTGGTTTAAACACAATTTTAACATTTGATTTATAGTTTTGGAGATGAAATTCCTTAAAGGGGGAGATTATATCGTTTCCAGTTTAGACCCGACCCGTTAATGTTTTGAATCGAGGTTTCATTTGTCTTATTTAGTTATTCATACCATATTTCTCCTTATTTCTCATTGAGTTTGGTTATTTGAGTGTCTTGGTTGTGTTTAGAACAGGTTGGTTGCCAGTTGGTCCAAACTGTTGTTGTCCAGAATTTGGCCTCTTTGCTTGAGCGAAGCTTCTTGTGCTCAAGTGAGCTTTGTGAGCTCTCAGTGCTTTTGTAGGCCTGCAAAGATACTAGGAAGGTAGTGTTCTTTGCTCAAGCGAGACTTCTTGTGCTCGAGCAACGGTCTTCTATCTATAAAACTTTTGGAAGTGTGTATTCTGCACTTGAGCGAAGCTTCTATCTGGTCGCTCAAGCGACAACTCTTGCACTCGAGCGAACTGTGCATATATCAATTTGTAAACAGGCCATTTTACATCACTTTTTTATCTCTCTCTCTCTCTCTCTAAACATTTCAAAACCCTAAATCTAGAACTTCTCTCTCTCTCTACAAATACACCAAGATCTACCTACTTCTCCACCCTACTCCTTTTGTTAAAAAGGTAGAGCTCACCTAGAGCTTCGTTTTCATCCGAATAGAGTTGGATTTCGGCTTCCTTGAGGTTTCTCCACTCTCTTCTTGATCTTCTAGCTTCGAGGTAGGGATTCTCTACACTCTTTTATAATTTTTAACTTAGCTTTGTTTATCTATTTTGGGCTATCAGTGGAGGATAGCTATGATTGTTGTAGAAATTGCATGAGGATTAGGTGAATTGAAACTAATTTCTTATATTTGTGCATTGAACATTGTTGCTCATTCAATACATTGCATATGTATATAAATTTGAGAGCAGGGGTGAATGTTGGAAAGAGGTGTGTGTCACCAAATTAAGTTGGCCGGTGTGTTTAGGGTGAAAGTCCCAAAAAACGCGTGTGTACATGGGTGCTGATTCCCGTAGACGAAATATTCATAAAATGGCAAGAGTAGTGCTTGTATAGACTACGTTTACATGGGTGCCGTTTAACGATTTCCCGCGGACAAATATCCGTAAAAGGTTGTACCGGCTTGAGAATTTCCCCTTGTTTTCTGTTGTAGAGGACATAATTTGAAAATTAAGATATAAACTGAACATGGCATGGTTTTTTAGAAAGAAATGTAGTGCTCATAAACATTGCATATGCATTTTACCCTTATATCTTCGTTAAGATTCATATATTATGTTGGATTATTTCTACAGGGCTTTGGCTCACCCTATATCATTTTCAGGTGCTGGTGACATGTCCCCACCAAAGACTTAGCTTGGGAGGACTGTGGAGTTAAAGACTCAGTTTTTGTTATTTTGTATTTAATGTTTGTAAAGGCCTAACGCTTTATATGTACTGAGCTTAAGACTCACTTTTGTTGTATCCAAGCGTTTTCTTGGAAAGTTGAAGCCTACAAGGCATTTCCATTATATGTTTAATTTCTATTTCTTAACTTTGTTGTTGACACATGCTATAGATTCAGGGTTAAAACTTATAAATGTATATTCGCATGTGCCACTTCTTTTGTACAACTGATTTTTATGAAATGGAAGGATATCGTACTCTGATTTGTGTTGTTATTCAATTATTGTTACGGTTGGTTTATTATCATTATTTCAAGGCGTTACATTTGTTTCCATTTTTTTATGGACTCTTGCCCTTAGTAACTAATTTTATATTTCAAATTTTAAAATGATATAACTTTTTATCTCTATATTGGTGCCATGAAATTCTTTATGAAAATAATAATAAAATTTTTACCAGTGAAATTATCATTAACAGTAAAATTTTACTTTATCTTACAGTAAAATTTTACTCTAATTCACAGTAAATTTTACTATGAAATTTTATCATTTTAAGAAGATGTGCTTCCTTCATGAAAGACAAATAAATTTGTTTACATTTTGTGACACCTCAAAATTTATTACAAGAATAAACCACAACCATGCAATGCAACATACCATAAAGTCCTCTTTATCATTGAACTAAGGTCCAAAATTCACAAGTCCGTGTTATACATAAATCCCAATCCATGTCCTTAGGTAAGTTTAATAATCTAGAAGACTATACAAAATACAAAAGAAGTTCTCCATTAAGGCATACAAAAGTGTTTAAGTTTCATCTAATACAACAAAACAAATTTCAATATGTGACACAAAACTCCTTACTTCTATAATCAAATTTCTTGGACCCATCTTCCCAGCAAAATAAAAGTGCAACTTCAATTCATTGTAGTGGTGCGTCACCAGTTCCTGAAAAATCAAATAGAGTTAAGCTATATGCCCAATACGAATATATTTAACCAAGTATCTAGTCATCTGAATAAGCACATGGCACCGTTACAACTAAAACAACATAAAATAATTGACTTTGAGAAATAAATAAATAAAAAGTAATTAAAGTACACCTTTGTCCTACACAAAACCGTTCTCAACATTAGAAAGAGAAATGCACCATGAGTCCCTTATAAGAGTCCGAACCACACGCATAAGCCACTTTCATGTAATACTATCCCTACATTTACCGACTATTATACGACAGGACATGGGCACCCAAAAACCATGTTTTTCCACATTTACAGACTATTATACGGCAGAACATGGACACCCAAAATCATCCACTTTTCCACTTTTGCCAACTATTATACAGAAGGACCAGTAAACACCCAAAAATATTTTCCTACATTTGTTCAGCCATAATCGCAGACAAGGCAATTGGGCACACTGACTCCCCGTGCCGGTACCAACACAACACTACATCCTCAACACCGACTCTTAACTCAAACTCATGCTCAATTAACCACTTCATTAAACTTTCTTCCAAGTAAACAAGCATTCATCATTATATGAGAAGAAAGAAAAATATAACATTCAAGAAGCATCAATTCCCGAGTCACAATTTTAACACCACAACAATATCCATCAACTCCACCTCTTGATTCTTTACAATATTCCAAGAATTTAAGGAGATTCCAATCCAAATACTATTCTCTACCTAAATTAGGAATTAGGGTTTTATCAAATTTGGGGCTTTCTCCCCTTCTTCATATGAGTGTGTTTCTTTCACATTAATATACATATTTCATGAAAAGATTCAGAGAAATTTTAATAAAAGTTGAGTAACAAGTTCCCTTTTTGTGAAACAAGAGTTTTATCCAACAAAATCATCAAATTAAGTTCTAAGTCACAATAATACTGTCACAACCCAAACCCGCCCCTATAGGTTTAGTGTCATGACCGGCCAATAACCATAGGTTACCTATGGCCTCTATAAACAAAATCCATGAAATATATAGTACGGGGCTTAGCGGAAGTATAACATAACATGAAAATTATCCATTGAGCCGTGCGTATAAGAAAAGAACTTCATATCAAGACTGTACAACCATTCAATAAGTAAGTGCATACATTACGAAAGTTTTTAAAACAACACCCAGCCCACAATTACCAAAAACTTTACTAGTCATACATTCACAAAAACCCTTATACCGAAAATCAACTAAGAGTCCATAACAAACAAGATGTTTAGGCTTTGCTTGGCTCCACACGAGTTCAAGTTGGCTCATTCTCGGGAGCTCCACAAAAGACTAACCGTTGGGTGACTCCGAGGCAACTTCTAACCCGGATGCTCAACTTGCTCACCTACACATATATAAAAAAATAATAAGCTACTGCCCAATAAGTAATAACAAAATAAAGGGGTTATATGAATGAAGTTCAACACCATTACAATTATTAATTAGATTAGGCGTCATATCAATCCTCTGCAATAACAGAACCATTATTCGTTATCATTTTCAATACAATTACGACTTCAATACAATTCTCAATAATCCATGTTATCTCAATCGCAATACTCACTCAATAACAATTTATGTGGTACATCCAATAGAGTAACAATGTATCAGCAACAATGAGACCTCGAGGGTCAATCAATGGGACCACAATGGGTCAATCAACGTTTCTTATCCAATGTGACCATTTAGGTCTAACAACAGAGATCTCTATATTTTAATTATCCAATGGGCTACGGTATTGTTTCCCCCAGGCGAGGGCCAATGGGCCATGGTATTATATCCCCCAGGCAAGGGCCTATTAAACAATAGGCCATGGTATTAATTTCTCCCAAGCATGGGCCTATTTAGCAATGGGCCATGGTATTAATTTCCCCCAGGCATGGGCCTATTTAGCAATGGGCCATGGTATTAATTTCCCCCAGGCAAGGGCCTCACTAAAGGATGCCACGAGTTTACTTTAAAAAAAAAATGAACTTCATTCATTAGTAACCAAATAGTGCTTCAATAAACCATTCAATCAATCATGTATCGATTTCGATAATAATAACATTTTTGAGAATAAATATCACTTGAACATATCTTTATAACTTATTGCTCACTATGGGTTACATTGTACTAGGTCTCGAATGTCCACCTATACAAAACACATAACAAAAATACGATTGAAGCACCATTCAATATCCATTTCACTTAATTTAATTCTCCTCATGTGTTTCTAACTCATTCCATGTTTATATGAGTTCAATTGGTGCCTAAGAGTACTTGAAATGACATGAGGATGCTAGTATGCACTTAAAAGAGTTAATCAAAAATTGCTGAAAACAGGAACCTCACTCGAGCGCCACTTTGGTCGCTCGAGCGGTCTGCAAAACTCTGTTAAAGTAGTGGTTGCACGTTTTTTTATGCTCGAGCGAGCTTCCTGTTGCTCAAGCGAGGAGCAAAGCAAAATAGGGTTCGCTTGAGCACATATTTGGATGCTCGAGCCACCGTGTAATTCTCTGCAAAACTTTTGGGGAGTTTGATTTTTATGCTCGAGCGACACTTTCTTCACTGAAGCGAACGTGTCGAATTCTGAAATTTCCAGAACTGAGTTTGAAATTCAAATTTGATATTCAAAGGTCCAAAACTCGTGTTTTTTATACAAAAACATGGAGAAACATCGTAAAACATGGAAACATAGTTAATTTGAAACTAATTGCTCAAAATCATGGACCCAATTCTCAAAATCAAACTTAGATCATAAAGTTGAAACCATGCATGACATTAATCACACTCTTTTCTTCTCAAAACAAAGCAAAATGACATGATATGTGTAAAACAATGAAAAACCTTCAAGTTTGTGCCTTCTAGACCTCATGTATGTATGAAATTCAATAAATCTCAACTCAAAAACAAAGGATCAAGCATGCATGTGTATAATTCAACTCAAATTCATCATATTCATGGTAATTCATGTTCAATCCACTCAACTCATGCAAATGATCCTAGAACTCCATGAACTTAGTTCCTACATGACTTAATTCCAAGAATCTGGGATGAATTTCATACCTAATGTGTGAATTCAAGTGTGTTATGGCTCCAATCTTCAAACCTTCCACAAATTCTCTACAATGCTCCTTGTTCTCTCTCTAAATGTTGAGTTCTCTTTCCTTCTCTCTCAAAATCTCAGCCAAAATGTTTGTATATATGAGTTCATGGTATGTATTAGGCTTATATAGGGCGTAATTTGCTTAGCTTAATCAAAGTTGATTAAGGTTAATTAATTAGGCTCAATTCTAACTAAGTTCAATCAGTTTATTCTAATTATTTTAATTCGAATCGAATTTTGAAGAAAGTTGCCATAAAATTCTAAATATTCTAATTAGCCTATTAGGCTAGTCAATTTCAGCTTATGGACCCTTTTGGGCTTTCAATTTCTGATTCTAAGTCGATAAGTGAACAAATATTCCATGTAATAATAGATAACCACAAAGTTTAGCATGTAAACACATAATTAAACACACAATTATGCAATTAAACTTATTGAAACAATATAATATAATAGTACGGAGGTCGGGGCCATCACAATCTCTCCCCCTTAGAAAGTTTTCTCCTCCAAATTTAAGTTACCTTCAAACAGAAACAAATACGGATATCGTTGCCATATCTCATCCTCTTTTTCCCAAGTGGCCTCTTTCCCATAATGTTCTTTCCATTCGACCTTCACCATAGGGATAGTTTTGTTTCTCAATTGCTTTACTTGCCGATCAATGATTTGCATGGGCCATTCTTCATAAATCATATTCTCATCTAAAGCAATCCGATGGTGATCAATCCCATGGAACGAATCTCTAAGATACCCATGAAGCATGGATATATGGAAGACATTATGCATTTGTTCCATTCCCGGTGGCAAGGCAATACAATAAACAACAGGACCCAACCTTTCAAGAATCTGAAACGATCCAATATAGTGAGGAGTCAGTTTTCCATTCTTGCCAAATCGCATATGTCCTTTCATCAGTGTTACTTTGATAAATACATGATCTCCCGCTTCATATTATAAGTCTCTTCTTCGCTGGTCCGTATAACTTTTATGTCGGCTCTGTGCAGTCTTAAGCCTTTGCTAAATGATTTTGATCTTTTCGGTTATTTCTTGCACAAGTTTGGTACCATAAATAGCCCTATCACCAATCTCTGTTCAACGAATTGGCAATCTACACTTTCTGCCATATAGTGCCTCATATGGTGCCATACCAATGCTAGCGTGGAAACTATTTTTATAAGCAAACTCGGCCAACAGAAAATACGTTTCCCAGCTACCCTGAAAGTCCAGAACACACATACAAAGTATTCTTCTAAGGTTTGAATAGTCCTCTCGGTTTGCCCATCAGTTTGTGGATGAAATCTTGTACTAAACCTCAATTTTGTCCCCATTGCATCCTGTAGACTATGCCAAAATCTAGAAACAAATTTAGGATCCCTATCTGATACAATAGACACGGGAACTCCATGTAATCGAATAATCTCGTCAATGTAGATAGTAGCAAGTCTATATGCAGTAAAAGAAGTCTTTACAGCAAGAAAATGAGCAGACTTAGTCAGTCTATCACCTATAACCCAAATAGAATCCATACCTCTAGGTGTTCGAGGTAGGCCAACAACGAAGTCCATGGTGATATGCTCCCATTTCCATTCTGGAATAAGGAGAGACTGAAGCAAGCATGCCAATTTTTGATGCTCTGCTTTCACCTGCTAACATTGCAAGAACTTGGAATTGAAGTCGGCAATTTCTCTTTTCATGTTAGGCCACCAATATACTAGCTTCAAATCGTGGTACATTTTGGTGTTTCCTGGATGCATAGCAAACATTGATTTGTGAGCTTCCTCTAAAATTTCCCTTTTCAAGTCGACATCATTAGGAATATATAATCTCCCTTGAAATTTCAACACAGAATCCTCAATTGTGAACCCCTATTTAGGCTTGGTGTCAAATTCATCACAAATCTTCTTCAAAAACTCATCATTCATTTTCTTTTGTTTGATTTCCTCAATAATTACAGGCAGTGTAGACATTGCAGTTATCAAGCTATCTTGTTCAAAAAGTACCACTTCAATTTCAAGTCATTCAAACTATAGTAGCAATTCTTTCTAATCTGTGAGTAAACAAGCTAGATTCCCACATTCTTTCTGCTAAGTCCATCTGCCACAGTGTTGGCTTTGCCCGAGTGGTAGTGAATCTGTAAATCATAGTCCTTGATCAATTCAAGCCAGCGTCTTTGTCACATGTTCAATTCCTTTTGGGTGAAAAAGTACTTCAAGCTTTTATGATCGGTGTGCACTTCACATTTGGTTCCATACAGGTAGTGACGCCATATTTTCAGTGCAAGCACAATTGCGGCAAGTTCTAGGTCATGCGTTGGATAGTTTTTCTCATGTGATCTTAGTTGTCGGGAGGCATAAGCAATCACCCTACCATTCTGCATTAAGACACAACCCAAACCCTTATAAGATGCATCATTATAAATCATAAATCCTTCTGTACCTGAGGGTATAGTGAGGATTGGAGCTATGGTCAATCTTATCTTTAGTTCTTGAAATGCAGATTCTCTTTGGTCGGTCCATTCAAATGGTTCTCCCTTTCGAGTCAATTGAGTCAATGGCACTGCAATCTTTGAGAAGGCTTTAACAAACCTCCGATAATAACCAGCCAATCTCATAAAGCTACGAACTTCTGGTACATTGATCGGAGTAGGTCAATCAACAATTGCTTCAATTTTCTGAGGGTCAACTGAGATACCATTTATGTTAACAACATGCCCCAAAAATGTTATTTCATCAAGCCAAAACTCACACTTCTTCAATTTCCCATACAATTGTTTTTCTCTAAGTGTTTGAAGAGTCATTCTCAAATGTTGTTCATGCTCATCCTTACATTTCGAATAAATCAAAATATCATCAATGAAAACAACAACGAAATCATCTAAGAAAGGTTTGAAAACCCTATTCATCAAATCCATAAACTCTACAGGTGCATTAGTGACTCCGAAAGGCATGACTAAAAACTCATAATGTCCATACTTGGTTCGGAAAGTAGTCTTTTCAATATTGTCAGCCCTAACTTTCAACTGATGATAACCTGATCTCAAGTCAATTTTTGAAAATACCTGGGCCCCCTACAACTGCACAAATAGATCATCAATACGTGGCAATGGATATTTATTCTTCACTGTTACCTTATTAAGTTCTCGGTAATTGATACATAGTCTGAGGGTCTCATCTTTCTTCTTTAGAAAAAGAACCGGCACTCCCCACGGTGAAGTGCTAGAACGAATAAATCCCTTATCAAGCAATTGACTGAGCTTTCAATTCTTTCATTTCAATAGTGGACGTACGGTAAGGAGTTTTAGAAATTGGTTGTATACCCGGTATTACATCAATTGTAAATTCAATCTCTCTATCAACAAGTTGTCTAGGTAATTCATCAGGGAACACATCGGGAAAATCTCTCACCACTGGTATATTGTCCAGAGCAATGTCCATGGTTGGTTCAGTTATTACACTACACAAATACCCTTGACAACCCTTACTCATTAGTTTTCGGGCTTTCATAGAAGATATAAGGTATGGTGGTGGAACTACCCCTTTTCCCTCGAAATAAAATTCATCCTGTCCAGGAGGTCGAAACATCACTTGTTGTAAAGCACAATTTGTGGTTGCATGGTATTTAGCTAGCCAATCCATACCAAAAACAACATCAAAATGTCTCATGTCTAAAGGTATTAAATCAGCATATAGAATAGCATTCCCAAGAAATAATTCACATGAAGCATATATAGTTGAGCATAACATGGGTCCCGTAGGTTATGCAACACATAATATATAACTCAATGTTTCCATAGGTCTATTCAAAGTTTCAACAAAAACTATAGAAACAAACAAATGTGTAGACCCTGAATCAATTAAAGCATAAGCAGGCTTACCACAAATGGAGATTGTAACTAACACTACTGCCTTAGTATTTTGAGTGTCCCCCAGGACTAATGCAAAAACTCTTCCTTGCCTTTGGTCATTTCTTGTGGTAGATGGTGCTGCAACTGGTTTTGTTGTGGGAACTGATCTAATTGAGCTTATGGCACCTTGGTTACTACCCTGACGTGACTGTATACAATCTTTCGCCATATGCCCCATCTTTCTACACTGGTAGCAAGCCCCCGTAGTGCGATAGCAAACACCCCCGTGCTTCTTCTTCCCACAAACGGTGCAAGTAGGTACTGAGTTGCCACTTTGGGTTGACCCCGAATTACTGGAATTCCCAGACTTCAACTTCTTCTTTGTTGATGTTGTCCCCTTATTAAAATTCTATCTCCTGCCCTTCTATTCGAAATTCTGCTTACGATTGGCCACATTTCCCACCACTATTAGTGCCTTATCAAGCACATCTACATATGTTGGTAATTTAAGTACACTGACTCTGTCTGAGATTGGGTCACGCATGTGAGGCCCTAACTTTTTGTAATGTCCCCAAACGCTTATAGTTGAAAATTTTCAATAAGAAATCTTGTTTCTCCCTTTCTTGCAAATTAAACCCTAGAAATCAGGAGCAACTGCGCGAGCTAATCAGCAAACCCTAATCAACTCTGAGAACTTAAGAAACATTTTGAAACCCTGAATTAATAATTTAGAAACCCTAGAATGAAAAATTATAAGAGAAAAACCCTAGTATTTCTCTCTCCTCCTTGGCCTATAAATACAAGCCTTGCTAGCTATTGTATTTCACTCCATACACTCACAACACACAGCTGAGAGAGGAGGAAAGGGAGGGCAAGTGAGCTTGAGAGAAAAAAAGAAGAAAAGAGAGCAACAAGTAGGAAAAAGATCTAGCAAACTAAGGTAAATCTCATACACCTCTCCTCTCAATGAATCATCATGTTTTTCCCCTTCATAATACATGCTAAAAATATATTTCACATGATATTAAAAGTTACTACATTATTAGATGATGTATGGTTTGAAAATGAAATGTCCCTCTTCTTCCTTGTAATTTCCAGCAAGCTTTTCTCAAGGTTTTTGATTTTATTTCCATAGAAAACCTTCACCAACTCAAAATCTGTTTTAAAGGGGTATTAATTGACATATATAGAGTATGTGAAAATTTTGGCTAAGACCCTGGATGTTTTTTTATGACCCCTTTTATTTTTGTAAATACTTGCTGCAAAGAACCTGTTAAAACAGAGGACTTTGGAAAATTCTAGAAACTTATATAAAAATTGTATCACGTTCATTTTTACATCAAAATCTTCCTCTGAAGGTTAGCTTCCAAAAAAAATTTATTTCAATGAAAATGAATGAGTATTTTAAGAGAAACACCAAATTTTGTAACAGTTGTCAAATCTGGACAGAGTCTGTGTATTTTTTAAATATCCAAAAATCAAAAAGGGCCACTCTACTTCCGTAAAATGGTTCTGAAACTAGACTTGATTCTCTACAAATCCTCTAAAAGACACATTTCTGAAACCCTTAAAAAATATTTTTCCTATATTTATTTTTGAACCGGTGCAGTGCTGGAAATCTGAACAATGCGGTTCTTGTTGTAGTTAATGCTTTTGTGCTATCATGACATATTGTTGTAATATATGTTATACTTTCATGCTTGAGTTTCACCTTGAATGACCTTATTTTGTTCTTACTTGTGCTAACCACTAATGTGTAATACACTTAATGTGAAAAGGGAAAAACTAAATGGGTTGGTAAAGAGGTTTAACGACCACACTAGTCATACATCATAAATGATGAGAATGTTAAGTTGATATTAGTAGTGGATTAAAATGAGTAAGTCTTGCGCGACTGGTTGTTCGGAACCCTTGAATGAAGCGGTTGTATTCAGACCCTAGGTAGTTCGGTGTAAGGAGGGGTTTGGGCTAGGCTCATCATTACCGTCTCTTTTGAGGCCCTCGGTTGGTGCTTCACGGTATATAACCGTTGGTAGGCATCTGAGGTAAGGTCTGTAACAAAGCAGAA